GCTTGTCCCAGCTCCCACCAACCTAGCGGTTCGAAAGCATGCAAATGCAAGTAGATAAATAGGGACCACCTCGGTGGGAAGGTAACAGCATTCCGTGTCTAAGTCGCACTGGCCATGTGACCACGGAAGATTGTCTTCGGACAAAACGCTGGCTCTATGGCTTGGAAACAGGGATGAGCACTGTCCCCTAGAATCGAACACGACTGGACAAAAATTGTCAAGGGGAACCTTTACCTTTACCTTAAATAAATGCAGTGGTAGGATTATTAAAATACAACTGCTCTGTTTGAGGTGAGTTTAAAATCTGGCTTCCCACGCAGAATTTCCCCTTCTCTCCCTGTTGCCACCATGTCCAAGCTTATTTTTACCATCATGAAAGTGCTAGAAACCTGCACTTTCACAAATAAGGATGGAAGATTCTCGGGAAAGCGGACTAAACCAAACATGCTTATGTTTCTGATTGCAGGGCGATATGGGTTTACCTGGGTTGACGGGGCTCCCTGGACCATCTGGTAGGAAGGTAAGACCGTTTTATTCTTGCCGCTGGGCGCAGGCCCACGGGGAGCATCTCACAAGGCAAACCGGTGTTCAGGCCGGTAGGCTTGACTGTAACAACACACCATAGATTGGAAGTCAGTGGAAGGTCATCAGAGGAAGCAATCCTTTTCCTTTGGCGAAGGAAAAGAGAGTCTGGAGGCAACAGCCGATTTTATTCTTGCCGCTGGGCGCAGGCAGTGGAAGGCCATCAAAGGAAGCAATCCTTTTCCTTTGGCAAAGGAAAAGAGAGTCTGGAGGCAACAGCCGAGAGAGTTAGGAGCGGGGAAGGCCGATGGATGTTTTGCACTCGCGCGGTGGCCCTGCCAGTCCCATCCCTCTCTTCCGGCTGTCTTGACAACAGATATTTCAACAGCTTCTAAATATCACCCACAGCAAGATCGCACTGATCTGTGTCCTATGAATGCTTCAGAAGGCTTAGAAGTTTTGCTCCTCTGTGGCCATTGCTAAAATCTACTTCCCCTTTAGGTTAGTATTCCAAATTGCCCCTGCATGGCTTGTCCTGTCTTCTTTGCTTGCTTTTAAAGTAAGTGTGTGTGAGTGCGTGAGTGCATGGAGAGAGAGAGAGAGAGAGAGAGAGAGAGCTCCCGTGTCCACTTTTTCATGTATCATTTTCTGCTTTGTCCATGCTCTCGTGGTTCTTGATGCCGTGCCAGGACAAAAAGAGCACATCCAGTGAAGGTATAAGCACTTCCTGCAGCCCCGGGGGAGGTTCAAGACATTTTTGGCACCTAGGGCCAAGGATAGAATCATGTCCCTCGGCCAGCCCTTGGGACGGAGGCTGACTGGATTGGAAATTCAATTTCCTCCCTAGCAGTAATTACCAGGATAGCGACCTGATTTACATCTGAAGGACAGGAAGATGGGTAAGAGGGATGGTGTAGCAGAACGGGTGTGTGTGTGTGGTACGACAGAGCTCCCTCCTCTCTCCCCTTGTTATCCGTCTCTTCTTCCTGTCTATATCACTGGAGGCAGCTGCCCCGCTCTGCCTGGAAGCAGGGCTGGCCTTTCGTGTTCTTTGTCCTTCCCACAAAACTGACCTTAGAAGACAAAACCCTAGAATCTTATTTGGCTGCAAGGAAACCTGGACTCCCCCCCACACACACACACACACCAAAATGGCTGTGGAATTTCTGGGGAGATGATACAAAACAAATGCTTTTAATGGAAGCCTATTTTATTGGCCAATATTTTTGGAGTTTTTATTAAAAAAAAAGGCTCTAGATTATCTTCTGGCATTTTCCCATTGAAAACACCTTGGGTTGTAGATGAGCGTCTCTGTTCACTTGCAATGGTTTTAGGAAAAGGGCCAATATCTTGGAAGCCAGCTTGAGTGAAAGAACAAGTAACATCACTTCTCAGAGGGCCAAAGAAGAAGCTAAAGACCCGTTGAGAAGTTTAGAGAAAACTCTGATGAGGCGAGGAAGCCAGGTTTGCCTCTTTCAGTATCGCACAGAGTCACCTCATGGTGATTATAATCCATTTTCCCCCCAGACAGATTGTGAATTGGATTGCAATCCACAAAATATGTTTATTGACCCTAAGGGCTCCACAACACTCCATTTTCGTTGTTGTTGCCGTTACAAGACAAGTCGTTTTGTGTGGAACACTCAGGGAGAACAGCGATGAAGCAAAAGCTTGGGAACAATGGTTATGAGGTAAAGGAAGAGCAGGGATAACTTTGTGAGGTGAAGAAGCAGCTGGATAAATTTAGGGAGAGCAGTGTGTGATAAAACAGTAATAGCGGGTGGATAGTATCCTGGGGGGAACTGTAAGTCAGCGGGCACTGGGGACAGTTGACAAGGGAGAGCTAGTGGGCCTGGAAGGCACCCACAAAATATGAAGTCAGTACTGGATAGCATATATGTTAGAAACATGAGCCATGAGCCTTGGGTGGGCTAATATCCATATCCTTGTTTAGATATGGATATTTCAATGTATTGAGGAAAATAATGGTTCCAAAGGGCCCCTGAAATGTGTTTGATGTTACGATCATGAAGTGGAAGGGAAAGTAAGCTCCTGCAGATGTTGTATGTCCTTCACCTTGGCTAGAGGTTGCCGTAGAGGCGGAAAACATCCTCCTGCCAAGAAAACAGCTGTGTGGTACGGAAAGAAGGTATGTGCGGTGCAGGTGTGTCATGAAACCTGGGCCACGCCTCTGATACAGCTCGATTAATAATCTCCTCACAAAGTCGACATTCTTCCCGGTGATGTAGACATATTTTCCTCCCCAGACGCTTTTGATTTGTGCCATATTCTGAGTCAGAACCACTTAAAGTGGCTTAAAGAGTCACTTCAATTATTTTTCCCATCTTGAACTATATTACTATTGTTGTTGTTTTATTGTATTCTTTTTATTTTTATCTATTATTGTTAGCCACCCAGAGTAGGCTTCGGTCTAGAAGGGCAGGGTATAAATAAAATAAAATAAAATAAAAACATAAAAGAACAAGAAGTGAACAAAGAAGCTGCCACATGTCTTTTTTCTGTGCCATAGTTCACACCAAAAGGTATGTCTGCCTCATAATTTCTCAGGACATAGGTTCCACTGGTGGTTTGGCCGTTCCCATTTCAGCTCACCCACAATGTCCTTCTGCCCACAGGCAGGGGATATGGAGCAGCTGAACAAACAAATGGGAAGACTTCTTTTCTTTCCCTTCCCCCTTTTTCTTTCTTTTTTTTGGGTGGTGGTGGTGGTGGTGAAGGACAATTCTTGGTTTTGCTTTTCAGCAGTTCTTGGTAGGTTGGAAGTCTTCTACAGCTGTTAACAGGCCCCCAAATGTGGTGGTTTGCTATGTCTGTTTCTTCTCACTCAGATGAGCTCATGGATCAGCCTCTGAGCCATCCTGTGAACATCTTAAAGTAAAAAAATAAGCATCTTCTGATACAGATGAACCATTGCTGTTCTAGCACATGGGTAGGTTGTGAGGTATAGGACATACACGAGCCTTCTTGGATCCAGTGGACTCCTGATCTGTTGGATGGCAAGACCCATGCTCCCCAGCCAACATGGACTCAGCGCATGTAGCATACAGTGTGGCTCTAGCCAGCTGGTGTAGAAGCAGCCCGTTGATTTTCTTATGGCGCTGGTACCATTTGATCAAGCCACTGCCACCAGGTAGCGCTGGGTTGGGTCGGTTTCCGTAGAAAGTGCTGCAGCATCATGGCATAAATGAAATAACAGACAGTGGAAGGTGATCTGGGCAGGAGAAATGCCAGCTGGTTCTAGGACGCCTTGAACCTCCTTTACTTTACTTTATTTAGATTTATACCCTGCCCCTCTAGACAAAGTCTACTCGGGGCAGCTTACAAAAAATGATAAAATTCAACAGAATAACATAGTTATTCTATGCTTTGAACTTCCCTGGATAGCTGAGTGGTTTTGGCTAGTTACCGTGGAGATGAAGAACCACGAATATGTTCCTGAAGAACTGCCGACACCTGAATGCTTCCCACCAAGCAAAGCATTTGGTGGGCTCCTGTCTGGTTGCTACTTTTTCTTTTCTTTTCGCCTCTGATCCCTCTGTGTTGTCAGGAAAGTAAAGTGCTTTTCTGGATCTTGACCAGGAGCTGGATGGGTTTCAGCTCCCCATTAGCTGAGGTTGTGTCAGGTTGTTTGTCTTCTACACTTGTGTGTGTGTGCATGTGTGTATGTGAAAAGAACCCCTTGCCTTTCATCGTCATCTTGTCCCTTGTTCCCTTTTGCTCTGTGAAGTCAACAGACCTGTTGTTTAGATGGTTGATAGGATGAATCAGGACAGCGGCTCAACTTTCTGGAAGCGCCACAAGATTTTGTCCTCCTGGTTGTGATTTAAAGGCCCTGGAAGCATCAGGAAAAGAGAGGAAACTTGCCTCCTGTCATTTCAGTCCTTTCCGAAGATGCTCACAGGTTGAGCAGCCCTTGGGGATACCTGTTGGACGTGTCTAAAGCCCCGCCCCACAGCATGACTTCCTGAACAGAGATCTCTCAGGCAGAGATCATTTTTGCTTTGATAGCGCAAGTAGATCATGGAATAGGCAGGCGCCTGTTAAACCACGAGGAGCTGGAAATGTTTGAAACTATCAAGGACGTGTTCACTTTACCATGTTAATTGATCTGTGCATGGCAGTCCTTTCCATATTTTGCAAACGCTTTAACAAAAGATAAAATTTACCTCTATGTTGATTCTTTTGAACAGGGACAGAAAGGTTTTCAAGGTCCATCAGGTCATCCTGGAGACCAGGTGAGTTTTACTTCCTATTGTTTTCTTTCTTTTTATTTTCTTTTGAGTGACTCAGTACTAATGAAGCATTGTCACTGCCCAGCACAGTCTATTTTGGCTTGAAAACAGGCGCCTCTAATTGCCCTCGATTTTAAAAACAACAACAGCAACAACATAGAGCCTGACTTGCATGTATCTAGCGTGCAACGCTGATCTGATCTATTTGGCAGCTCAAGGGCAAGGACAGGTTTAGAAACTGATGGGACTCGCATAGAAACCTTTGCTTCCTCCCTGGTGATGGGGCAGCATCCACCACGACCACCCCTGAGGGCAGCAGGTTAGCAGACCTTGGGAAAGAGTCCCCGAGCATCATCCCGGCCAGCATATCCGGTGGAATTTGTGGGGACTGCAGTCCCATGGGACACAAGTGTGGTGTCGCGGGTAGAGTGTCGAGCTAGCACTCCGGAGGCCTGGGTTTGATTCCCTGCTTGGCCACGGAAACTCATAGTGTGCCTATGGAACCGGTAAAACGATTCCTCAAATGCATCACTTCCCTTGAAAGCCCTTTTTGGGGTTGCTATGGGGCGGATGAGGGCTAACAGGTTGAAATTGAATCCCGCTAAGATGGAGGTCCTGTCGTTGTTGGGATATCCTTGACTGATTAGGCGGCTGCTTACCTGAACTAGATGGGGTCTCTCCCCCCCTCCCTGAAGGATCGGATGCAAACTCTGGGTGTGCTTCTGGACCTGGCCCTCCCAATGGAAAATCAGATCCCCTCAAGCAGCCAAATTGGGGAGGCTCAGACATGAGCAGTGTGTTCCGGGGAAGTCCTTTCTTACTTCTTTATATTGAAATTCAGTTGATGTCGGTGGCATTTTCACCCTTGGCAGCCTCCGTGATAATGTATGATACCGACAGCCTCGTCCAAACAGTACTGTCCACACGGAGGAGGAAGAGCTTGGTAAACATGGATGAGCCCCCTCCCCTCCCATCCCATCCTGTCCCCTTTGGCAGAAGGACAGCAGAAATCTGGAGGCAGAAGAAAGACCAAGGATCCTTCAGCTGAGGGGAGACTGAGCACACTCAGTGGCCAAGGAGCGTGGAGGGGCTGGGATGTCTCAGAGCTGCTAGACTCCCACCTGAGTGGCAGGGATCACGAACAGAGGGTGGCAGCGCTCACCCTGCAGAGATGCTTTTGTTATCTCTGACGCCTTGAATAAAAGTATGGGCGCTTTCTGTTGCTCTGCCTGCAGGCATCCAGGAGGTTGAAGTAAAAGTGCCTTATTGTATATAATCAGCCTTGTCATCTTAAAACTGCAGAGCTGTGACCACTTTAGTGAAATCCAACTTCATTCTTTTCATTTTATGTCTCTCTCTCCCCCCCACACCCCCTCCACCCCACTCTGTTTTTGTTTCCTAACAGGGTGAATGGGGACCCGATGGAAACCCAGGGGCCAAAGGTTATCCTGGCAGGCAGGTGCAGTAAATCTTACCGTGCTGTGCGCAGCATAGGGATTGTGGGGGAAATTGCAAGCCTGGGAGAATAGCCGTTGCCTTGCGCTTATGAAGAATCCACATGCAATCGTCACAGAGTTGCACTGATTTCATTTCCTGCATGTAGAAAGCTAGTGGGTTAGGAAAAGCGTTCCAGCCAAATTTCTCCCTCCTGTCCCTGGGTGTTCTTGGGACTGCAACTCTCAGAAATCCTGGCCAGCATGGCTACTGGTGAAGGCTTCTGGGAGTTGTAGTCTAAGAACATCTGGGGACCCAAGGTTGGGAATCAGTGGCACAGTGAGTGTAGTGGTGATCTAAGAGTGCAAGACCTCGTGTGTTGTTCAGGGTTGTTGACCTGTTAACAAATAACATGAAATCCAAATAAATAACCAAGGAATTGCACCAAGACAGCAGCTCCTCCGAGCAGGGCCTGACTCACTTTTTAATATCCGAGACATTGATCAAACAAAGGCATGGCATTTCAACGCACTCAGAGGGCTGCATTGTCTTGCCAGTTTCCGTTTTGTTAGACAAGACATTCTGTCAAACTCCAGTGTTTGCAGACTTTTCCACCAATGTAAGATGTTGACCAGAGAGGTAAAAATAAGCTCTGTTTCTCTCAAAACATCTTGGGTCTCTCACAGCACAGCTGTCTATATACTAAACTCGGGTATGTTTACTTTCCTGACTTGGTTTTTTACTACTTGTTACTTCTCTCAGCTGGCGTTGGAAAAGGTGCCGGTGTTGGCTTCTTTTCGGTTCATGCATTGGAAGCAGACTTATTCACTTTGGCCTGGAAGGAGGAGGAGAGAAAAAAAATCCCCCCCAAAAAAACAATCAGTTTCTGGCAACTGAAAAAGAGCCAGAAGAAATGCCACCTGAAGTTACGATTTACTTTTTTTACAAAACTTCCTTAATGGATGGGAGGAATCAGCTGCCTCATTTCCTTTCTGAAGCAGACAAATTCAATCGGGCATCTGTTGGAGAGGAAATAACCACAGAGGTCTGCTGTGTGTTGTTGTTTTTTTAATGAGGAAGGATAATTTCTAAGGTTCAGCTGTATGGCCCTTGATCCTCCTTCATCTTCCCAGTTTGTCTCGCACTACCTCCAGCCCCATCTGCAAGTTGGATTTTAAATAAAGTCTGAAATGACCCTAAACTCCTAGTCCCTGTGGATTCTGTGAGAGGTGAATTCCTGAAGCGTTTAGACTTGGTGGTAGTCCTTATATATCTTCAGCAGAGGCCGGAGTGGTGTAGAAAGGCGCTCCTCTTACACTGAGAGGAAATATTTACTGTCCTGCTCCACATTCCAGATCCAAGGCTGTGTTTCTTCAAGGACACACTGTGGTTCCCTTACATCTTGCATCTTCTAGGCAGAGTTTCAGGGATCACCAATAACCACAGTCTGAACCCTCCAAGGTCCTAAGAACTAGGGTGGCTTCTCACAACGCTTTTACTTATTCGGTGCATGGACATCGACTTCAGCTTTCAAACACCTCCCTCCTCCCAGCTGGGTGAGTGGAGACAGTGTGGTCCTATTTGAGACAACTTCACACCCATGGATGTTGTCGGCCTCCTTGAGAGCCGATGGCCTTTGTGACACCCTAGCCAAGAAGTTCAGATTGTGTGTATGAGAAAAGCAGGAGGAAAAAGAGAGAGAGAGAGAGAGAGAGAGAGAGGGTTACCTCTGGGCAAATGCTGAAGTGTTTACACTGGCTGTGAAATAGATCCCGAAATCCATATGTGGGGGGAAAAAATCGAAAGGAAGTCTGCAAGCTTTTAAAACTCACAGGTCTCTCTTAAGGCAAGATATTGCAAAAGTAAGTGAGCTAGCTGAGGATAGCAGACCTCGGCATCTGACCTGCTTCATTTAGAATGCAGTGAATGGCTCAGATCCCGTTTGAAGTCCAACTTTCTGCCCTATTCAAATTCGCTGGAACAATTAGGTGACCTATCTATTTGGAATCCTTCTTCTTCTTGTTGTTTTTATTATTAGTGTTCTTTCTCCTCTTCCTAATTTCCTCCCCAGCTATCTCTTGGCTGCCTTCCCAAAGCAAGGGAAGAGCCCCCACTTTGGCCAAGCCTCGCAGGAGTGAACAATTTGTAACATCTCCACATTTATCTGTCTTTCGTTTTGTTTTTCTGTCTCTCTCTCTCTCTCCCCCCCCTCCCCGCCTTGTATTTCAGGGTTTACCTGGACCTATAGGGGAACCTGGTCCAAAAGGCAGCCGGGTAAGTGAGAAGCCAATTCCTTTCCCTTTTGCCAGTTTTTGCTATTGTCAGCTTGATAACCTTTCGGCTGCCGGGTATTTTTTTTCTCTCTCTGTCTTCCCCAACTCCCTTCTTCCTCTCCCTGAGCTGCTTTTTGCTGGTGGGGTTGAAGGCACATCTATTTTGCCCTCGGGGGACTGTTTCAGCAGCCTTTCATGCCTGGGAGGGAAGAGTAGGCCAGGGAGGGACATGTGTGTGTGAAATATGGAAAAGGGAATCAGGAAGGAATAAGAAAGTGTCAATCTCTCTTTGGTCACTGTCACCGCCGGCTCTGCTTCTCCCACATCGGCTCTTCTGCACACAAAAAATGGCCTTTCTGTCTACCGTGCTGTGGCCTCCCAAGATCACCCTGTGGTGGATGATTGGGGCATGTGGGTGTGCATTTCATCTGATTCCGAGGTCTGAGATTCTGGGTCTCGTGGAAGCAGAAAAAAAAACATCTTGGAAAGGACATGAGCAGGGAGTGGTAAATTCTCAAGCTACTTCTGTATTGATTTATTCGGCTTCCCTTAAAAATCCTGCCAGGTCTTGAAACGGCTAGGGGGCAGCCCACGTTGCTCTTCCTCTGGTTCTTATTGTCAGGACCATGAGTGGGTTTGGGCAAAAAGACCGAAAGCCAAAGGCCAGCGAAAGGTGCCGGAGGGGAGGCTTTGACCCCGGTGGTCTCCCTAGCCGTAGAGTCCAGAATTCTTACACGGTTCGCCGTGGCTCGGTGAGGCAGACCAAAGAGCCATTGGTGGCTCTTTGGTCTTGCCAGCTGACCCAGTGTCAGGAACAGCTGGAGCTGATCTGCCTGTCCTGGACTCCCAGTTGCCGGCAGCCATCGCAACGGAAGTGGTCGGAGGCCGCTTGCCAGTTCCGTGCAGCACCGTCTGGGGCTCGGCAGAAAGGCTTCGTCTCCCTCCCTTGTCCGGCGGTGCGGCTTTCGTTTCCCCCAGTGCTGCTCTGAAACTGTTCTTCAGCACAGACGGACTTCCTTCCTGACATTAGCATTTATTTATTTTATTTCCTTGCATTAATTTGTTCGATGCTTTAGGGTTCCTCCTATGGCAAGAGGCAGGGATGGCCCCCGGTTTAGCCCTGGCTCATGAAGGGAGCAGAAAAAGGTCTGTGAAATGCCGAGGTCGCCGAAGGGACAGAACCACTTCCAATTCCTTGGTCAGGATTAAGCAAGGCAGTCCCCTTCCAGACGCTAGTCGCCAGAAGGAAAAATGGCACAGGAGTAGCACCATCCCCACACCCCATTTTTGGCATTCCCAAAATCATCAGGTTGGCCCCTAATAGGGACAGGAGGAGGTGTCGCTGGACTAGAATTAGGAGAAGTTACTTTTTCCAAGCTGAATGGCCATGAATAGGCTTTGCAGGCGCAGAGACTCAGGTTAAATTCTGCGAGTTCTGCTGATGACAACCTGGAGTTCTGTTAAGCAGTGGGTTGGGGGGGGGGGCTGATGTTATTTCTGACTTCTCTGTTTCGCACAACAAGCCAGCATCCTGAAATCCTTTGCCAAGGTGAACCTCTGTGCTTTTCGCAGCCTTGCTTAGGGTTTCCTTGACTAGCCAAGAGCTGAGATTTCTGGAGAAACCCCTCCCAACCTTTTTTGGACAGAAGTGGCGCTTCAGTTAACCGCCTCCTACTCTCCAACGGCAATTATAAATCATTGTGACGCTCTGAGCCAATAAATTTGCCTCTCTTCTCTCTCTCTCTCTTTCTGTATCATGCGCTCCTTTTCCTTGTGAGCCGTAAATGCTACCAGCTGGCTTCCATCTCTAGGAAAATTACAAGGGATAAACAAAAATTGACCCTGTCGGCAGTTTTCATTCTTGTACGAGCTAAGAAGAGGGTGGAGGAAAAAAAAGGGGGGGTTGATCAGCTGTTTAATATCCTGAAAAATGACGGGGGGCCCATGCTGTAACTCGGTCTGTGCTTTGAAAGACTAAGGAGGGGGAAGAGAAGGCGGAAGGGAGGACAGACTGATAGTGGTTCCAGCACTTTGTTTCCAGGGTAAGGGGTGGTGTAAAAGGGGTTCACCTGGCTACTTTTCACCCTAATCCCAGAGAGGAGAGGCCAGGCTTGTGTCAGCCAACGGTAATGGAAAAAATCAGTCCCTATGAGTTGAGAGTACAGTGTAAATCTTGCAGTCTTGATTTTGCTCATGGTTACGAATCCCACCCCTTGGTCTTCCCACATCTTTGCTTCATGTTGGGTTGCAAGAGATTAGCTCAGATGGTCTCAGCTAGAGTAGAACCATTGAACCCATGGGCCACTCCTTTTGGATGTATTGGACCACAGCTTCCATCCCCTCGAGCTAGCGTGGTTGTAGATCAAAGGCCCCCTGGAGGGTCTGAACTCACACCCCACCCCACCCCACGGCTCGTCTTCCCTGGCGCTTTTAGGTCCTTAAGAGGTTCCTCTTCTTCTCTGGTGAGGTTGTGGTGCCGATGCTCGATGCTCGTGAGTGGTGACGTTGTCAGTGTTTTTTTCTAACCTGGACCCCAGTTCCCTTCCTCTCCCAGGTCAGGTGCCTTCCTTCCTTCCTTCCTTGCCGGAGTCCTCACCATCCCTGGCGTGGGGGTATGTGCCCTTGGACTACATCGTGGAAGCCAGCACCATGCAGTCCATGGGCATATACACTTGCCTCAAGGCTTATTTCGTCACGGCCACCGCCCTGCCTGGACCCAGCGCGCTAGAGGAGATGGAGCGCGTGCGTGTGATTCCCGGAGGAGGGATGAGAGGCCCCGTGCCATCATTTCAGAGAAGACAAACGGCTTTTTGTTTCTTTTTTTTTCCCCCACAGGGGTACATTGGCCCACCCGGATTGTTTGGGCTGCCAGGTGCTGACGGAGAACGAGTAAGTGCTCAGAGGCTTCTCCTTTGCTCCCCTTCCTGCTGCATCGCGTCTCGGTCCGCTTCTGCTTTGCTTAGGTGACCACTTCAGGTATCACCTCGAAAGAGGGCCAGAGAGGTTATTGATTTGTATTGAATTGCATCCACTGCAGATGCAAAACTTGTCCCTGTTCAGCTTCAGTGAGACAGATCCTTCTCTCTCTCCCTCTCTCTCTCTCTCTCTCTCTCTCTCTCTCTCTCTCTCGTGTGTGTGTGTATGGGAGGAGTTTGCTTTGGAGCTGCTGATTTAATGCTTGTGTAACTGCCTCAGAAACATAAACAGAAGGTTCTCCTGTGAGCGCCTTTGACTTCAGCCTTCTTTCAGTTCCAGACCAGTAGCTTCGAGACAGATCCTTCTCTCTCTCTCTCTCTCTCTCTCTCTCTCTCTCTCTCTCTCTCTCTCGTGTGTGTGTGTGTATGGGAGGAATTTGCTTTGGAGCTGCTGATTTAATGCTTGTGTAACTGCCTCAGAAACATAAACAGAAGGTTCTCCTGTGAGCGCCTTTGACTTCAGCCTTCTTTCAGTTCCAGACCAGTAGCTTAATTATTCCTCCTGCTAAGCTTTGCCTTCACTTCCTGGCCTTGGTTGGGGACACAACTTGTGTTTGTGTGTGTGTGTGTGTGTGTGTGTATTCTTGATTGTAGGCAGGACAGCTTAGCCTTAGAGGGCTGAACCAAACTTTCCCCTGCTGACAGTGAGCAGTTGATGTTTTCTTCTGTGATGTCCGGTGGTTGTTTTAGATCTCCTTGTGGTTAAAAAAAACAGCCCTTCACCTTTTGTTTTTTTGATTTGAACTCTCCCCTGCTCTTCCAACCTCCATCAGACTTTAATGATCTCTCCCATCCCTTTCCTCCCACCCCTCTGTTTTGTTTTCAGGGTATCCCTGGAGTTCCTGGGAAGAGGGGCAAGATGGGTAGGCCGGTAAAGTTTTTCATCGTCTTGGTATTTTCTTTAAAAAACGGGAACAGGGAATTCAGGGTGGGGAGGAAGACTGGACAACCTTAACTGCAAGGATCTTTTTTCATTTGTGTATGCATGGAGTCTGGCAGAGGGAAAAGGGGGAGGAATGAAAAGTTGATTCTTTTATAAAGGACTTGTCCCTTTATTCTCCCAGCTGTTCCCATTTCACCATAGCAGTTTCAACTTATTTGTCACTCTTGCTGGTAAAATGATGCCCCTGATACTTCCTTATTTCACACCAATTCACGTCAGTTTTAAGGTGATTCCTGACCTTTTAGGGCAGCCTTCCCCGACCTAACAATAACAATAATCATACTCTGGCCCCTTCCAGGTTTTTCCAAGTAGAGAGTACTCAGAGGTGGTTTCCCCTTCTGTTCTTCTTGGGGGTAGCCCTAGGACTGTGCAGGCTGGCCAAGGCCACCCGGACCGCCTTTACTTGCAAAGAGGCCCCCTGGGGGAATCGAACCCTCAGCCTCTGCAGCCAGAGGACTCTCCAGCCAGCTAGTTCCCTTCCAGATGTCTTCACCACCCATACCCACCCCGAACACGCACCATGTCAACTGATTCCGAAACTAGTCCAGGCAAGAAACGGTTAGTCCTTGAGTCAGAAACCACCAGGGAATCTCCAGGTAGAGTCAGGATAGGAAAGAAGCCACACAAGACATCAAAGCTGTTCATGCTTAGGTCACAAAAGGAATCAGCTTTGTATCTAGCTTTGTCCGTGGCCTCTCTTGAAATAAATGTCGCAGGTCTGGAGAAGTAGCTCCTCAGATTCTCCCTAGTCAGCTTAATTCTGGCATTTTTTTTTTGCAAAAATAACTTTCCAGGCTCTGCTTGAGTGCAATTGCCTACATGTGCTGAATAGTCTGTGTAATAATAATAATAATTAAAAAAGACAGTTTCGGGGAAAGCGGGAGGAAAATGGCTGCTCTGCCAGAGTGAGTGACCAGTGGTTACGTCAGAGGCATCTCAAGCACAAAACTACAATCTCTCTCTCTTTTTTTAAAAAAGTCCATGGCAGCAAATCTCTGACTCTGAAATAAGCGAAACAAGGCAACGGTTGTTAGGTTTGGGGGTCTGGTCAGGGTTTTTGACATGATTTCAACATACATTGTGCCTGCGTGCGATGTTTTCCAGCTGTTGTTTTGGCTTTTGCAATTTCCCATTCAAAGAAGTCTCAGCTTTGTTTCCCCCCCCCCGCCCCAAACTTTATAATAGGATTCTTTGAATTTCTTTTCTTTTTCAACACATGGTCTCCGCCATATCACTATCGCCACTGGGGAATGGTAAATATATCTGAATCGAGTCAGGATTTTAATTCTTCTACAACTTCTTTTTAAATGAATTTATTAAATCATCAGCGGTTCAGATGGGAAATTAGAGTGTGCAGTGAACCCATAACAAATACTTTAAATTGATCTCAGACGAGCTTAATGCAAAATGCAGGCAGACGTACAGCGGGGCTCCTGTTCTAGAAACACAGCCATGCAGTTTAAATTATGGGCACCAATGTCTGCAGGGTGAGGGCAAAGGGCATTTTCCTCCTCCCACCATGAGTCCTACATCTATTTATTACTTTGATTTACACAGATACTCTGTGCTGTAGTAGCATGCACTGTGCACCAGAATTATGTGAGCATGCCAATGGGCAGCTTTGCACCAAGATCACAAAAAATAAAATAAAATACCAAGCTAGTTCTCCTAGGAGGAAACAGTGGCCTAATAAGGACCATCATTTCCCCCCTGAAGCCCAGTATCAACGTGTCCCACTCTCTGTTGGAATTTCAAGAGCTCCTATTGTCTACCCCAACAAGATGAATGATAGTAATCATGTGCCCTCAAGTCAGTTCTGACTTATGGCAACCCCTTTCCAGGGTTCTTAGTGCTCCCCAGCCTTGGGTCTCCAGATGTCCTTGGACTTCAACTCCCAGAAATCCTGGCCAGCAGAGGTGACGGTGAAGTCTTCTGGGAGTTGTAGTTGAAGAACATCTGGAGGCCCAAGGTTGGGGACCACTGCGGTCTAGGTAGAGAAGACTCAGAAGTGGTTCCCCCTTCCTTTCTTCTGGGGTTGCCCTGGGATGGTGTGCAGCTGGCCCAAGGCCACCCGGGCTGGCTCTTCCCCCTGAAGGCACAATGGGGCATTCAAACTCCTAACTTCCGGCTCTGCAGGCAGAGACCTAACTTATGGACCTTTACCAAGAAGGGAGTGGGGGAAGAGAGAGAAAAGGTTTTTTTTTCAATGTTAAAAAAGAAAGTTTTCTTCTGGGGTTTCCCTGGGAGGGTGTGCAGCTGGCCCAAGGCCACCCGGGCTGGCTCTTCCCCCTGAAGGCACAATGGGGCATTCAAACTCCTAACTTCCGGCTCTGCAGGCAGAGACCTAACTTATGGACCTTTACCAAGAAGGGAGTGGGGGAAGAGAGAGAAAAGGTTTTTTTTTCAATGTTAAAAAAGAAAGTCAGCTCAGAACTATATCATCAGGGGGACTCCTTTGTCAAGTGAGGGATAGCCTTACTATGATGCTACCTGAGGCTTGTTTCTCCAGTGACAGATAGTGAGGGACAACAGCGAAGTGTGAGAGAGGACACCGCTGTGGGCCGCATGTTTTGCCATGCCCACCCCTAAGGTTGTTTGCTGCTTCAGCGAGGGACGCTGTGCCAACCTTCGATTCAACTTGTCTCGATGTTCCTGCACAGCGTGTGTCGTCCTGAACTGAAGTGTCTCCTCATTTACCTGCAACGTGCAATTTTCCCCCTACAGCTCCAGAGGAAGTAGCCGAGGCAGGTTATAAGAAAGGGCAACTATCCTGACAGGAAGAATAGCTCAGCCATAGAATGGATTCCCTGGGAAGCTGCTGGCCTCTCCTCCACGGGAGAGTTTGAAAAAGGGGTTGGAAGGCCAACCGGCCCAGAAGTTCTTTAGCTGCAGATTTCCTTGCTCAACAGCGTTTTGGACTTGATGAACCTTTGGGATCCATTCTAGCTCTGTGGCTTTGGGGTTGGCCCCTTTTCTCTCTCCTCCTGCGCCAGGACACCTGGTCTCCACCTCCGTTGCATTTACAGTAAGATCGGTCAGTGCACACACCTTGCCAAGGGTGACTTCTTCCATGGTGCATTTCTTCTTCGGGAAAGGCTCTGGAGCCTCTCTCCTCCCCTTTCTTCCATATCAGTTTAATCAGCATTTCTTCCTTGGGAAAGGCTCTGGAGCCTCTCTCCTCCCCTTGCCCTCTTCCTCTACAAATGGGACAATGTCTACATAGGCAAAGGGAAGGGACCACTGCCAGCTGTGCTTATGTTCCTTTCTCTGGATTGCTCTAAAGCAATCAACAGACGGTGCAGTTGGGAACCTTTTGTTGGCTGTGTTGTGTGGGCCTCTTGGACTGATGTAAGAATGTAAAAAAGATTAAAATAGATTTGCTGGACATGAGTCAGACTTGAAATCATTCCAGGGGAGCTCGGCTCAGCAGGGACGTGAGAGGAACATGATGACTCGGTCTTGGAAACGAGTTTTAGACAAGGCTTCCCCCCCCCCGCCCCCACTCGCTCTTACTCCACTTTGCTTCTTTCCCAAACCCTCAGAAAGTTAAAAAACTGTGTGGGCAAGTAGTGGTTTTTTGGGTTGGCCTCTTTCTTTAGCCCCTGTCGGTGAGCAATGGGGAAATCTTCAGTCATCGTTAATAATTTTCCTTGGATTGAGAGTGGAGCTGTGGATTATTATGTTGCGTTTCTAAAAAATCTCCTCCACACCATCAATAGGAATGAAAAAACGACAGAAAACAAGCAAGCCATTAAGGAAAATTCCCCCCACAAAGCAATGGGCTGTAAAGCGGGTGGACTGACAGGGCAGCCCACATAGTCAGGATTTAGTCCTTCCATGTCCCACAAAGTTTGGATGGATTAAATTATTTTCTTTCAAACTACTCTTTATGCTGCAGCTGGAGATGGGTGAGAGAATTTAATTTCAGTTTGGTTTTTTTCCGTAAGAAATTGAGATTAATTCATTTATTAAATGTAGGAGGAATGGAACTTGATATATATGTCCAATTTAGTCCCAGAGTTTGGAGTGCTTGACTTGTGAAAGGATGTGTAGTCAACCATGCTAGTTCTTAATTAGGGTGGGCATCTCCCCCCCCCAAAAAAAAGGCTTCTTATCTTTAACACCAACATCTGCAGATTAGCCTCACCTTCTTTTGTTATTGGTGATTGGGGGGATAGGCACAGCATTTATTGCTTAATCATGAAGGCCTGGCAGCATAATATCTGACAAATTTCTATCGGTGTGTGTTATCCTTAATATGCAGTTTGGCACCCATATCTCTGTAACCTGTATTTTGCCCCTCAAGACTTCTTTTAGCTGCCAGTAATTGGAGATGAGGCAGATTTAGATTCTAGACAGCATGAAGGAGCTGGTAGGGCTTAAGCTGTTCTTACTGTGGTTACTCATCTGGGGAAATCTTTTCATGCATTGAAGCCCATACCAGTTGACTTTTAATGTATCTGGATTTACTCAGCTGGATCTTATCCATAATATGACACAGGTATTGGTCAACAGTTGATGCATCAAGCTACTTTTTCGAATTAAGGATTGAAGTCAGGGGCCTCCATCTTTTAAAAAGGAAGATAACAGTCTTGTTTTATAATTGACCTTTTTATGGCCTAGCATGGGGTCAAATCCTTACAAACAAAAAGAAATATGAATAAATGGCATAGACTGGAAATCATGAGTTATAATTAATGGCCTTATAGTAAGGATTTTTTTAAATCAGGAAAGGCATAGCAAAGTTATTTCAAAAGTAACTTAGTAGGAGTGAAGGTTCATTGTCGGTGCAAAGAGTAATATTTTCTAGTTTGTTTTGGCAACTTTTTAGGAATTTTTAAAGGTATTTTGATAGTGGTTTTTCGAAATTTATGGCATCTCACATCAATTCCAAACCTTTCTTTTGTTTGTTTTGGAAAAAATATAGAAGTAACAAAAAAGTTGCAGCTAATGCAAAGAATTATTGATTAAAGTAACTGTAACAAGCAGTTGCTTTTTGGATCCTAGCATCAGGAATGGAAACAAACAACTTCTGTTACAGGTTATTTTTACGAAGGAGCTTTCCAGCCTTCGATAAAAAGGGCCATGCATTCTGATGTCCCCAAGCGTGGATGCTGTCACTTCCAGCCCATGCCCATTTGGCTTATAGTATTTATGCTTTTCCAGCCTCCAGCTGGCATTGGACCAGTCCATCTTGACTGCTCCCATTCAGTCCAGTAAGGGAGGAGAGATTTCTGTTCGGAGACCATGCTCTCTGATCAGGCCATCATCGGTTTCTGTATGTCTCTCTCTCTCTCTCTCTCTCTCTGTGTGTGTGTGTGTATGGAGTTATTTGTTTATATGACTCATTCCTCCTCTTTTCTCTTGGTGAGAAATGAATCCTGAACTGGATCTTCTAACTCCACAAAGTCCTGTTGTCTCCCCTCCTGTTAAAAAAGAAAGTTCGATTTGCAAATTCCATGCCTGCGGGGAGCGTCCTTTGGGCACCGAACTCACCTGGCTGTCGCCAACTGGCAAAGGCAACCTTTCTCAGACAAGACCAGAGGGTTGGGCGGCTTGAACACCCTCCGGATCGAGCCAACAGGAAAATAAAAATCCTATTTTGGGAAAAGGAGCCAAATGGCGGTGGAAAGCCTTGCCAGGACTGTTGGACGTTCCTGCCAGATAACCTCCTTCTACTCTAGTGGAGAGAAGAGTTTTCACCAGATCTGGAGAGCTGGAGTTTTTCCCAGCGACTGTTCTTGTGAATAATTGGAACCTAATCTGTTGCAGCAAAAAGCTACAAAGAGTACCGTGCACTTTGATTCTTTTTAAATTTTGGCTTAAGTTTTTATGGACATCAGCCCACTACTTTGGATGGAGATTTTATTGCTGTTCATCATGTGGCTTTATGTATATACAATTATTTTTATTTTTTAAAAAAGAAAATTGCCTGGTCCCGGAGTTCATGCATCTCTTGGCCAAGAGCTGTGTTGAGGGAAGGTAGGTAGATCTTGTCAAGGATGAGCTTTGGGAGAGAGTCTTCAGGTAGGTCACGAGTGGCGGAGAAGGCCAGAGTTCAAGACCGAAGAGCAGCTCAGAACCAAAGGAGGAGATAAAATCTTGGAGTAAGCCGGAGGAGCAACCAAGGATAAAGTGATATGTCAGAGCCTGGGAAGTCTTTCTTGCTAGAGCAATTGAGCTGGAACAGGACGCTCTCTTGTGCCACTTCCTGTCCAGATGGGACTTCCTTGAGACATTTCCACTTTGAGAAGTTCAGTGGTTCGCCACAATGAGGCCGCTGTGCATAGGACCTGGTATCTCCTGGTATCACAGCAAGGATCCGAGTGACCGCCTGGCTGCCGACCTTCTTTGGTGTTGTAGAACTGTGCTTGCGAATATACTTCATGGGAAGCAGAAGAAGCTATCCAACAAATTCCAAATTTTAAAGCAGTGGAGGGGAGAGTGGGGTTCGAAATTCAGAGAGAGATGGCCGTGGAACGAGGATCCAGCATGGCCCCACGGCTCAAATGTCAGCAATGTTTCTTCTTTTCCTTCCGCCCTTTAATAGACATTTTCTTGATAAATCTGCTTTATGCTTTGCTTTTTGAGCACGTTAAAAGCAGCCGCTTCCCTGCTATGTCTTTTCAAAAGAAAAAAAGAGAGAGCATCTTTTGTAGAAGGAAGCAGGGGATGAATAGCTGAATAGTTGTCTGTGTACAGATGCCAGCGAGTTGCTTATAATCTTCTCTCCCTACAACTCCTTGGCCCATGGCAGGCCTGGAACCCGACAGTGCCCAGCTGGGAAGCTGCATTGCTTTCCTGTTTGCAAAGATGCCCAGAAACCTTGAAGTAGCTCAGTATAAAAGAGCAATGTTAACGTCTTCTTCCTAGCATGTGTTGCACACCGCAGGAGGAAAGCTGAGCTGAAATGTTAAGAATGTGGGCTGTGTTGTTCATTTATCTTCCCTTTTTTTAAAAAAAAGGAAGACGGGTCAGAAAGACAGCGAATAAACAAACGAGGAGTGTGTCTTGAGTTGTGGGAGGAATTCGCAGTGAGGAGAGTAGCTTTTCCATTGGATACCTCGTAGGAACTTAAAAAGAGCCCATGGATTTTGGGCACCCATATTGGGAGAAAGGAGTGGAATGATATGAAATGGGTATTTGAGCTTTGCCCGTTCCCAGTTCTTCCCCACTGTGCTTTGTCTGAATTCTGCCTTTACCTCTTTTTCCATCTACCCACACTTCCTCTGGATCCCACCTAAATCTGGCTGACTTCACCCACAGTCCTAATTTTCTCCTCCTATCCTTGACTCATGAAATCCATGTTTAAGACCAGTTGAACTGGGTTTGAAACCAAGCAACCCCAAAAGAAGAAAGGAAGATTTAGTTGACCGTTCAGCCGGAGCCTAGACCGCTGGCTCAAAGGTGCTATCCCACTTGAGCAAACCGGATTTGGTGACCAGATTTTTGATGGTATAAATCTTATTACAGTAGTTCACAAGTGGGCTTGGCAATTGAGAGTTGTTATCCACTTTTATAAGAAGAGAGGCTGAATCTCCTTCAACAGGCGGAGAGCAGGCCTGTGTGATTGACATTGCAGATATATTATATGCCACAATATCTGCTTGGTAATCGAGAAGACATACGCTCAGGCGGTTGGATAGCATCTAGCCAGGAGAACTTAAATCAGCCAGTGTTTCAACAATGGACAATGTATTCACTCTTGCCCATCTGATTAAAGAATATGGAGAAGTCAAAAGAAAAGAATATTTGTAAAGCGGCCTACGTTGGCTTGAAGGTTGCCTTTGATTCTATAGAGAGGGACAAAGAACTTCAAAGAACTAATTCCCATCGGAGATCATAAAGTGTTTTTTTTTTCCTGTGTGTGATTAGGGCTGTATAGACATCAGCAGGTTTAATCTTCTTCCTCTGATCTGCTGCTAAACAATGCCCATGAAGAAACGTAGGGGGTGACAGGGCTACATACCTGCCCTCAATCCAATTTTTTGTAATGATGCTGCTATTCCTGAGTTTAAGGTAAAGGCCCGACTCCAGCTGACAATGCCAACCATTTGATCCATTTATGTACGGTGAATAAACTAGATTTGGAAGCTAAACTGGTCAGAAAAAAGGCTATTGGGGGCTTGTACGGGGGACCACCTGTGGACACCTGGGACTTCCAGGTAGGGCTAGGATAGGAAAGAGTGATATCTGAATCCCTAGGGAGTCACTGCAGCCAGGCACAGCCTGACAGTCCTGGACTAGGTGAACGAAGAGCCTGACCCCAGTAATAAGGCTGCTTCTTATGCACAGGTCTTCACACAGCTGCCGAACATGCCGTTGTCACAATGTGTGATTTGTGTGTTTGTTGCCTGAGGACATGGTTCGCTGGCCATGGACTTCCACTTTGACTCTGGCATTGTTGTCCAGACAGTTCAGAGGCCATGTTTATTTTTGTAGGGAGAGGGGAGGCAGAGAACTGGTTATTTCCTCTTCCCCATTTTCATGCATCAATATGGAATTCCTGTTGTTAACCCCCTTGAGTATCGATCGGCCTTGATGGAAAGGTGAGAGCATAATTCTGTGTGTAGATAATTGCGGACACCCGGTGAGCATCTTTGCTTCTCTTAACAGCTTTAAAAAAAAATCCCCCTGCCATGCTGTTTAAAGCAGACACGATGTTTTGTCATCCTGTACTTAGCTTCTTATGCACTATCCGGCTTTGTAACCAAAAGGCTCCCCCCTCTTTTCCTTCACTGCAGGGTTTTCCTGGTGATTTTGGGGAACGCGGACCTCCCGGCCTTGATGGCAACCCAGTAAGTTAGCCGGAATTCTCTATGGATTTTATATTTCTCCTTCCATCTTCACTGGAATACCATCTGCTTGCTGACTGGCTAGGCGGCTTCAAAGTGGCCACCCTTCTCCCCTGTTGTTTTGAGTTTCCCTCCTCAAATCATTCCCATCTTTTCTACAAAGTGAGAAATGTTTTAGTCAAACATCTGACGGAGATGTGAGAGGTCAGTAGATGGCCACCTTCTTTTCCCCTCCTGCCTCTCTCTCCTCTTCTGTTCTCCCGCAGCCCCGCTGAGTCCTCTGCTAATTGCGAAAATGAAGACCCAGCGCCAACAGCAGCAGCAGCAACAACAACAACTGCTGAGTCCTTTGCTAATTGCGAAAATGAAGAACCAGCGCCAACAGCAGCAACAACAACAACAGGGTGTCTCTCCTAGAATACTCTTTCAGGCTAGGTTCTTGTGACACTCAGGGCAACCAACAGATACATCCCTGGACATCAGACTAGTTCGGAGAGATGATGGATGCAGCCCAGACTGATCTAAAAAGAAGTCTGAAGCAAAGAACAACATAGGACATTCCATGTTCCACATCCCATGTCCAGAAGAGAATTAGACTAGCACCTAAAGTACCAACACGAATCAGACCCAACTCCGGGAGGCAGTGGAAAACAGGAGGGCCTGGGGTCACAAAGAGTCAGACACGACTTAACGACTGACTAAACAACAACAAAGTTACTTCAGTGCCAGCAAACCCATTGCATCTTGCTGGTGACATGCCTCTTGGTGGACAGACACGGTGCCAGCAAAGTTACTACGGTGCCAGCATGCTGGTGACATGCCTCTTGGTGGACAGACCTTGTGACCAGGGATGAGGAATGTATACATTTTAGTCCAATGTATTTTGGACTACACATCCCATGTTCCCCCAGATCGTGACGGATGTAGTCCAAAAGACTAACTTCTGGGCCTCAGTTTGTGCCGTACCTGGTTCTGTTCCTGAGCAGAGGGGAATGGCCAGGTAGCTGAAGAGAAGCAGCTGCTGATGCTTCTTTGGATCTGCTCCTTGAGACGGTCCCATCGCTTATGCCTAAAGATCGGACCAGCCTGGAGTGCTTTCCGTGGCAGTCTCCCGGGGAACTTTGGCCCTCTTATTTGGGAAGCATTTAAGGATTTGACTTCGCATGTATTTTTGCATGCAGAAAATTCAAGTTTTAATCCTAAACTTTTCTCTCTAAAGGGGTTTTGTGGGCTAGATGGGATAAAGGGTCATCTTCTTTTTCCCCCCTGCGGTACCACCGTTTTATTCGGATGCCAATATGTGCCAGATCAGCTTGACTAAAATCCATTCAAGCAAAAATATTCTATTAATTTCATTTCTTTAACCAGAGAATGGCACTCAGGACGAAAGATTATGTCCATACCACCCACAACAAAATTGGCTTTAAAATCTTCATAGCTTCATCTGGGTTCTCTCTCCGGGCGCCCCCCACCCCCCGCCCCAGCATATGAATGTTCTTGTGTCTATCTTCAAAGTAGACAGCTGTCTGGTGGTTTGCATGCCTTAAGAGGAAGGATAAAAATGCATAAAGAATGCTTACTTTAGACATGGTGCATGCCTGTTTTTGAGGCTGCCCCTTTGAGAACTGAAGGATAGGAGGTCCACCACAGGCCACAAAATCTGGCGCCTGGACCCATACCGGGGATCTTAGCTTCTGAACTGGACATGCAGAAGCTAAGAGGACATCTGTCTAAAAGGTCTCCATATTTGAAGAGCTGGAGGGTCCCTGTATCCTCCAGCAGAATACCTGTGGCGAGCTCTTAAGAGAGATGTAAGACCTTTCCTTCCAGGAGAAGATTTCAAGTTGAGTTGAGATACATTCACAAAATCCAGTCCACAATCAAAGACATGAACAAAGAGCTTGGCTTTTGTCGCCTTTATGCGGAGGCTGGTTTCCATAAGAGTTCCGTGTCTGGCTTCTGCTCCCTCCTTTACTTATAGACTCAGGTTGGGAACTAGTTGGTGTTGTCTTCTAAACCGACGTCTTTGCCCGAAAGGCAACTAAAAGCGCAGCACCCCACAGGTTTGTGTGTCGTTCGTTAATGGCCTCGTTTATTGCCACGACGCTTATACAAATCAGACTCCTAAAATCTGGAGACCAAGGTCAATATCATGTTTTTAATTCCCGTGCCCCACTTCTTCTCTGATCCCACCCACACAATCATTGCAGACTCTGCAAAAAAACCTGAAGCAAAATATTATCTTCCATTGGAAAAGGGTGGATCGTGCTCCATGAATATTTGTGGATAATATATTCGTTAGTCTCAATATCAGGTCTTTTTTAAAAAAAAAATCATTTGCTTCCCCCCCCCTTTCTTTCTTTCTTTTTCTGTTTTTCTTTTCTAAGTGCCTTTAAGGCATCATGCATTGTAGGAATGGGCAAGGAGTTGGAGAGGCAGCTCTTGAAGAGTTTTTTTGGTTTGGTGTCAAGCCCTCCTCCTTGGAGCACCGCTGCTCGACCGGAGCTCTCCAAGGTGCTGCGCGGAATCCCAGGGTTTCCCCCCCCTCCTGCTCATGGGCTCCCCCTAGAGGCCTGAAGGTTGCAGGTGTTTCTCTTCCTCTCTTAAGCATCCTCTGATGGAGCTAAATAACCGGGGGAGGGGGCAGCCTTCCTCCCAAACACTTCCATTGTTTCAAAAGGCTTTGTATAAATATTTGATTTTGAGTACATTATTATCTACAAACCTTTTCAAATAAATGTTGAAGAGAAAGTGAAATACCAAGAACAGAGAGGTGCAATAGTATCATCTTGGACAACAGCTCCCATTGCGACACGACCTACGGTCGTGCTGGCTAGGGCATTCTTAGAACTACGTCAACCATTTCTGTTAAACGCGTTTAGGAATTAGATGCTAAGCTTTTGTGCAGTGAACATCGGCCACCCATGCATAAGCTTCTTGGGCCATTTCTCCAGTGGCCTTTTCCCGCCAATCATCCTTGTTCCTCAATCATCGTTCTGAAAGATTAATCCCATAAAGAACCTCTTTTGGAAAGGCTTTGCCTTGGGCTCCCTGAAGAATCCAGCATTCCATAATATGATTCCCCCAGCAGGAAATACATTTTGCTTTCATCTTTTGGATTTTTTTCTTCTTAATGGCATGAAATGTGCTGGGAGGTCTTGCCGCATTTTATGAAGAGTCGTTTGCTGGGGTCAGGAAAAGAGTCACCGACGGAACAAATCCCAGCAAAAGGACCGTTCACCCAGAACGCATTCTGAGCGGGTGGGCAGGAATGCATCTCGAAAGCAGAGAGATGGAGACCTTGCGTTTGTCCTGCTCTCCCCTCTCCCAGATTCGATATGCCCAGAGGGATCTCCATGACTCCTTCTCTGGCCGTTGAATGTGGGTGGTTCGTGTCTCCCACATCAGGTCAGCTTGGGGTGCAAGCCATCAACCTTGTGCAGATTTCTCCCATTTTTTTTGTTTTTGGTCAGCAGCATGAGACTTGTTCAGAGATGACATTTTATCTGTCCTGAATATCCTGCCATTCATCTTCCATGGCAAAGTCAGGGGACTTTAAACTCCAGTTCTCCCTCTTTTACAGGTATACCAAATGTGTGGGAAAGTGCCTTGGCCATAAGACAAAGGCCAAAAAGTCCTGCTGTAGCTGTATCTTTATTAGAGCCATCAAAAAGGTGGAAAAAAAATCTCTGCGGAAGTGGTTTAATTCACAGACGTGGTCAACTAAAACCAGGCATCAAGATGGTGGGAGGGACGCTTGAATTTAAAGGCCGAGTCTGCATACTGTCTTTTGGTGTCATATGGGGAAATCAATCAATCAATCAATCAATCAGTGGGCAAGCAATAGTGGACCTTCCCACTGAGCTCACTCAATTTTAGAGTTTATCCTAAATGGCCCCTCTAGCTGGTAGGAATATGGAGGACCTATTAAAAAAAGTTAACTTAGTTAACTGAAAGTCTTTCTTCTAATTGTGCAAACTACCCTTGTGAAATCTAAAACTCCTCCCGTCCACTCTGGGGCTCTCAGGCACCTTGGCAGGAATAGAGGAGAGGGGTTTTGCACGCGTGGCCGAGGCTAGATAGGTACGTTCTGCTCCCTCGGTTTTCTCCCACCTTTAAAACGGGACCCAATGGGGACCTTGGGAGGAACGAGAGTCTTCCTTTTTATCTTAAGGGGAGAAAAGAGGGGCAATAAGTAAGATGCCAGGCTTTCCATCTCTCTCTCTCTCTTGCTTCTCCTCTCCCTCCACAGTGAAAACTCTTTTTTCCCCCCCTCCCCTTTCCTGTCCATTCCTGGGAGGGGAAGCAGGTCTCTGTTTGTGCTGAAACGGCAGGAGAAGAACAAGTGGCCTTGTGTCTGGGAAGGAGCCCCTGCTCCTTTTCATTACCCAGCGTGCAGGAGATGGGAGGGCGAGATGGGCCCGGGTGGGGGCGGGACAGCTCTCTCCATCACTCTCTCTCTCAACCCCCCCCCACAACCTTCCCTTCAAGCCCTCACCACACTGAGGCACTTTTCAGCCTCCCGTTTGTCGACAAAAAAAGGGGCCATAACCATGTTGAACTTTCTTTTTTCTTCTTCTAGGGAGACGTGGGAGTCCTAGGTCCTCCTGGAGTTCACGGCCTCATTGTAAGTACCAAGAAAACAGGCGGGCCTCTTTTTTTGGGGGGGTCATCTTGGGGTTCTTGGAGGGTTTTTAACTCTTTCCCCGAGGGTACAATTAATGACCACATAGGAACGGCTTGCCTGGCTTGCCTTTATTTAACCGCTGCTTTTGGGACGAGGCAGACTGAAGAAGGGTGAGAGGGGAAGGTGTGAAGCTTGGCTGTGTTTCGGGTACGGCAGGGTGCAGAGCTGCCTTTCTGGAACAGGGCTCTGGCGCTTTTAATGGCTGTATAGAAAAGGAAAGAAGACGACGGCGCAATTTCTGCCGAAATGACTTTTTCCACCCAACTACTGAAGGTACAGGAGCCCTGTTGTTTGTTGTAGGTTTTTTTCGGGGCTGTTTGGCCATGTTCTGGAGGTTTTTCTTCCTAACTTTCTCCAGTCTCTGTGGCCTTCGAGAGCACAGGAGCCCCTTCCTCCATTTCATGTGGCCACCCTACTTTGAGGGGAGAACATCACATCACACCTGTCTTACAGAAGGGAGTAGCTGACACTGGAGTTCAGGGAAGAGTCAATGCTCACAGACGGCTGGAAACAGTCTCTGGCCCAATATGGTTTTTTTGCTGCAGAAAACAGACCAGGGTATCTCGGACTCAAAGTAGCTCTGCCTTCCTGGATGTCGGGGCCAGCAAGCAGCAGGGACTGGGAGGTGACTCCAGGGGGTTGGAAAAGAGAGCTGTGTGCCAACCGATGATGTCCCAGGTCTCAAAGTGAACCCGAACCTTTCTGATGGAGTGGAAGATGCCCTTCTGCCCCCATTGTTGCAGTTCAACTGCTAAAGTTTCTGCACAGAGCAGAGGCCCAACAGATCTTGGCAACATTATCATGTTGGGCTATTGGTCCCCTAGCCATCGGGGAGGCTGATCCGGGCTTCTAGGAACTATAGTCAGCTTTCTCTGTTACGCCATGTAACTAAGCATCCGTTGGGCATCTCAGTTGGGCAGGATTAGCATCAGACTGTATGACTCACAAGGCCACTGGGTTCTGATGAATTCCACCCACTTTTGAGTCATCCCTGCATTGGTAGACCATCCACAGATGAGGTTCGCATAGATCTAGACCAGGGGTTCTCAAACGTTGGGCTCCTGTCTGTTTTGCACCTCAGCCTCTAGACTCTAAACATTGACTGTGCTAGCTGGGCCTTCTTGGTGATGGACCCCCAACCTATCTAGAAGACCAGGGGTGGAGACCTCCGAATTCTGTAGAGCCCCCTGTGGAGGGGAGGAGGTGCCCACACCGTCATAATCCAACCTTGCAAACAATTCTTTTAAAAGCTAGTAGTTCAGGGCTTGTGATCCAACTACACGTGAGTCGTTTCTGGCTTATTTATGGCCAGCCGTTGTGTACTAGTTGTGTACGGTGTGTTAAGGGACAGGCGATCAAGGACTGGGCTAGAACAGCTACCTGTACAGTGTGTTAAGGGACAGGCGATCAAGGACTGGTGTGGGACCTCTGAATCTGATGGTGCCATCAGGACAGGACTTTGAGTTAGAGGCTTAGGGAGGACCCAAAGTGTAGAATGACTGAAATTGCAGTAAAGCTTTCGAAACACGTGACATGATCCGTCCAATCATGTAAACAGATTTCCCTGCCTCCCCCAATAAGACCATTAAATCCAGAGCCTGAAAGGAGGTCACCGACAAGTTTTTAGAAGGAAACGCTAGCCCAGACTTCCTCCCTGGGAGGTTGAGTTCCACCCTGTTGAGATAGACTACTTAGAATCACCCAAATTATTTTGACACAGGCAGCAAAATATAACAACAAAGTAAATGACGACAGTTGCCCTTTTATAACATTCCAAATCTGCAGCCCGAGGCTGCATTCCTGCTCTAATGGTAGGGCCGGCCTTGACACTAAGCCCCTTTTTGAAACCATCTAAGCCTCTGATGATCACTTCATCCTGGAGCGGTGAATTCCACAGATTGATTACACTCTCTCTCTTTTTTGGCGAAGGTTCTTCCATCTTTCCAAAACTAAAGTCTTCAAACCATGTTTTGTTTTGTTTTTCTCTGCTTTAGTGTCTAGCTTTAGACACTTGGGTTGCCCTCTTACATTGGCCTATCTGAGAGGAGGCCGCAAAGGTAGAACGTCAATCAGTGTCGATGGATGTTCGGTTGATACCTATTGGCCCCCCAAGAATAGAGGAGAGCAGATCTGCCCTTCCTTACATCACCCTTTTAACAAGGCCTTGAAGCGGGTGCTCAGCACCACACACCTGATAAGGATGACGATTGGACATTATATCCCAGATTTTTTCCAGTGAGCTTGGGCCAGCATCCATGGAGGATCTTTAGTCAGATCCTTGCGACGGAGAACTGCTAGTTTCAAATATAGAACAACTTAGGTTTATGTCAAGAAGACCAGTCACGAAACGAACCAGACTAATTGGTCAGCTAGGGGAAGTGTGGAAAGTGCCTGTGGTGACGGTGATATATCTTTTTCACTCTTGAAGAATCCCCTTTTTATAAACTGACTGGTTTTCTGTGATGCATGGTCTGGCCTTCAGAAGAACACAGACCGACCCAATGACTCTCAGGGCTCGGTGGGAAGCTTAGAACCCCAGATTTCCAAAGTGTAGCCCGGTTCTCTAGCCTGCAGGAAGCACTGTTCTTTCCAGGTCAGTTGAATGCAGTGATTTCCTCCACTTGAACCTGGCGACCAAGGTCCCAATTACCTCCAGCGACGCCAGCGTTCAACATTTGCCCACCCGTGGCTGAAACAATCCTTCACGTGGCAGCCATCAGAGCGACCTGCTATTTTTGCAATCTCACTGAGTTGTGTGGCGGCTTCCTGGAGTGAGAGACCTTTGTTGTAAGGCGTCTGCTGTTCTGCTCCACAACATGATAAAAGGGTGCTGTGAGGAAAATGGGGACAGAGGAACTCTTTGGCTTTTTGCTCTCCAGCATGTAGTTGCCTTTTTTTCATTCTAATGTCCAGTTCTTTCCATTCAGCTTGTGATGAAAGTTAAGGCGCAAGGTTTGGTCTCCCGCTGGCGTTCCTAAGCTTGACTTCTGCCCTCTCTCTTCCCCTTGCCAGGGTGACATGGGTGCTGTGGGACCGATTGGATTTCCTGGACTGAAAGGATTAAAGGTGAGGGAGAGGACGGCGCTCAGGGGCACCAGGCAGGCACGTTGCATGCGAAAGGGGCCAGCATCTCTGTTTGGGGGATTGGGGGAGAACCCCCCAAAAAACCCACCAGAATGGGTAGCGCTCAGTGGAATGGACCTCCTAGAGGTCAGTGAGAGACGTCACACTGAAGACAGCGATCCAGCTGGAGGCATTTTGGTGGAAAGGCTGGAGGTTCCCTTTAAAGCAGCCTCTCCAGTGACACCTGGAGCTGTGGAATGGCAGTGTTTTTTTTCCCTGGGGGCTGGAATGAAGAATGAGTAAGACATTTCCCTGTTAGTTCCTCGTGGAACCTCCACGCACCAGTTCTTAAAAACAGCGAGGAAGGTTTTATACTGGTCCATGAAGAATGAGTGAGACATTTCCCTGTTAGTTCCTTGTGGAACCTCCAAGCACCAGTTCTTAAAACAGCGAGGAAGGTTTTATACTGGTCCTCTCTGGGTGACTTGAGGATCAGGGCAGGTATTTCTCTAATCACCCGAGCTACCCAATCTGTTAAGAAGAAGGGTTGCGCCTTCTCCGTTGGGGCTCCTCACCTGTGGAATATTCTCCCCACAGACCGGTGCCCGTGGTCCAGTTGTTCTGGTGGCAGCTCAAAATGATTTTGGATTTTCTAAGACATTTTACATAGCCGATTCTCCCCTCTACACTTTTTTTGCTTGTTTCCATGACCTGATTTGAGCGTTTCTATTGTTATAATCATATTTTATTATTTTCCTGCCTCAATTGTGCAAGAACTTGATGCCGGAAAAGATGACAGACAGCTTAAAAACATTTGAATATATAAATAAGCCACTCATAGTTGGAAATAGCCAGTATTTGGTGCCTGTTTTCCCAAAGGAATGTCTTTGAAAATTTGATGTTCTTTAAGTCCCAGTCAGGCCTCAGTTATGGACCCTTTCCCTCCTTGTAGCAACTACCATGTTTCCCCGAAAATTAGACAGGGTCCCCTTTCCCTCCTTGTAGCAACTACCGTGTTTCCCCGAAAATAAGACAGGGTCTTATATTAATTTTTTGCTCCAAAAAACTCATTAGGGCTTATTATTAGATTATGTTTTATTTTTTTCATGTACAACAATCTACATGTATTCAATTATAGTCATGTCATGTTCTGGTTGCTACCCAAGGGTGGAGGGTGGAATTTCACTCAACTGGGGCTTATTTTGGGGTCCAAGGGCGGAGGGCAGAATTTCACTCAACTGGGGCTTATTTTTGGGGTAGGGCTTATATGACGAGCATCCTGAAAAATCATATTAGGGCTTATTTTCAGGTTAGTCTTATTTTTGGGGAAACAGGGTAGAAAGAAGTTTATTCTGGTCTTTTTTCCCTCTCTCCCCTCCCCTTTTTTTGGTTAGGGCCTGATGGGAAATCCTGGAGAACACGGACTGAAAGGTGATAAGGTGATCTGAATATTCCCTTATTGCACTGTTGTTACTTCTTTGCATTGCCATCACCAGTTTCCTCATACCATGTGCTTGGCCCCTCATGACTTCTTCCACTGTTTTCTCTTCCTCCACTTCCTAGCCATCTTTGCCTCATTAGCCTTCCCCCTTTAATTTCTCTCTGATCTCTCATTATCTCTTTTTGTCTCTTTCTCTCCACCCCCGCAGAACATATTGATGTAAACTTTATCCCAATGACTTACCGTTCCAAAACTGGCCACAGCAGTTTCTTCAGAATGTATTCTTCTTAGAGCAGTGGTCCTCAACCTTGGGCCTCCAGATGTTCTTGGACTACAACTTCCAGAAGCCTTCAGCACCACCTCTGCTGGCCGGGATTTCTGGGAGCTGAAGTCCAAGAACATATGGAGGCCCAAGGTTGGGGACCATTGTCTTAGAGGATGCCTTTATCTGTTTAACCGGGTCTAGGCTGTTTGGTGAACTTTGGTGGCAAAAGTTAAGTGCAGTTGCCTGGGGAAAGGTACAGTTTCCCCCAGATCTTGCTTTGTTTGTTTGTTTGTTTGTTTTGTGGTTTCCCCCAGATCTTGCTTTCTTTGTTTGTTTGTTTGTTTGTTTTAAATCAGAAGTCCAGGCGTCTGCAAACACACATCCCCCCGGAGCCTCTTGACTCTCGTCCTTCTCTGTTGGTCAGTGGCCAGAATGAGAAGCTAGAGCAGAACCCATCCCCTTGCCTTGTCGTCTCATCCCCCTCTGCAGGCTGGACCTGAAAGGAGAGGGTCTGTGGGGGAGCAGGGGGGCTGAGTGGCAAAGAGGAGGTGAAACCCATGGCAAGAATCTTGCCTCCAAATCTTGGAGGCAGCCTGCCAGGTCTCAGATTCTAGGTGTCTCTCTCTCTCTGTGTGTCCTGTGTTTCCCTTGGAAAAATAGGAACTCTGCTGAAATCCAAAGCTTCCCAAGCGGGATGGATTCTAGATGCAAGCTGGCATCGAAAGGGTCTAATCAGCCTGAACTGCCTCAAGTGGCGGATGCTGGAAGTTGGCATCCTCTCTGTGGCAGAGCGAGAGCGAAAGAAGAGGGTGCCTGAAGCCAGCCTGTTGCCTTCAGAGACTCCTCTCCAGCCATGTCAGTGCTGGAGAAAGAGTCAACCGCCAGCTCAGTTGGTTTGGGTGCAAGGGATGAGAAGAGGTGCCATCTTGTCCCGTTGCCTTAGGCAGCCAAGTGTCCGAGGACAACCTCACTTCAGCAGAAGCAACAGCACGGCAATCCACCTCTTTTTCCACCACCCCCGCCCCACAAACTCCTCTCTCTCTTTCTCTCTCTCTCTCCCTCTTTTCCCACCCCCCGCCCCACAAACTCCTCTCTCTCTCTCTCTTTCTCTCTTTCTTTCTCTCTCTCTCTGCCTGCCGGGAGTCAGCAAACCTTTCTGAATTACTAACTCAAATCAGATGAGAGTGGCTTCGCTGGACCTAACTTATTCCATCTGCTGCTTTCTTGCTGACTCGCAAAGGTCTGAGAGAAGAGGAATTCTGGGTTCCCACCCCCCGCCCCACAAACTCCTCTCTCTCTCTCTCTTTCTCTCTTTCTTTCTCTCTCTCTCTGCCTGCCGGGAGTCAGCAAACCTTTCTGAATTACTAACTCAAATCAGATGAGAGTGGCTTCGCTGGACCTAACTTATTCCATCTGCTGCTTTCTTGCTGACTCGCAAAGGTCTGAGAGAAGAGGAATTCTGGGTTTTGAGGGCATCCCACATCCTGCTTGGCAAAGGCCAGCGTCTCTGTCCTCCTGTCAGAGCACTGGGGAGCGTTCGTTCGGTGCGCTGGGACTGAGAGATTTGCTGGCAGAGGATTCACCCTTTTTCCTTTGCTTGTGTCTTCTCTCGCTTCGGCTGGCCCTCTCCAGGAGAAGGCCCTGTTAGATGGAAGGTAATGAAAAGTGGGGAAGATCCAACTGGAACCCACGTACGGAAGAGGCCCATCTCAAGACGCTCTGAAACTAGGTTTATTGCCTTCAGAAAGACCAATGCGTTTTGGCCTGTCATCATGCAAAGGCCTTCTCCAAAGGGATTAAAAGGGACAGTCCACCGAGAATCTCCAAACTGATTTGCTTCCAATTAACCCAGTTAGCTAAGCCAGTTTGCTAGAGAGTCACCCAACAACCTAGGTTTGTTTGGCAGTCTTCCCTCCCCTCTCCTCCAGAGTGGTTGCAAGGAGGAGCGTGGAAGCTCTTCCTTCTGTTCCTTGATCTACGGCCACTCATGGGTTCATCTGACTCTTGAGAAAACTGCAGCTGGTTGTAAATGTGCTTTGGTTGAAACATTGTGGTTCAAACATGGAGGGGGAGAATGGAGGGGAGAGTAGGCAAAGAAACAAGCTACACAGGCAGAAACAAAGAAATAGTTTTGTAAACTGTAGCTCAATGCAACATCTCTACCAGAGGTGGGAAGAGTGCTGGTTTTTAAGCCATTAAAGCTCTAAATGGCTTTGGGTCCAAGCTACCTCAAGTGATCTCCCTTTATGGGATTGCCTGGGTGTTAAGATCATCAAAGGCAGCCTTCGTCTCGCCCCCCATCATCTTCACAGGTGCGCTTGTTGGGGACCCGGGAGAGGAGAGCCTTCTCTGTGGCTGCTCCTTGACTCCCTCCCACCGGGTGGCCCGACTGGCCCCATCTTGGCTGCCCTTTCCCGAAACGGGCATAAGCGGGCCGTTCTCTTCAGACAGGCTTCTCCTTAGTAACTGGCTGTCTAGGAGAGGCTTTAAAATGAAATGGGTTGCATTGTTGCTTTTAAATCTGTCTTTTTAATCTCATATTTTAAATATAATGGTTATTTAATTCTTTAAAAAAACATCTGTATAGCTTACTGCCTTTTGTTTTCATTTATTGGTGTGTGTTTTGTTTTTAAATTATGTACGCCACCTTGGGTCCTTTTGTAGGAGAAAGGCGAAGTAAAAAATCTTTAACATTTTAAATATAATGGTCATTTAATTCTTTTAAAAACATCTGTATAGCTTACTGCCTTTCGCTTTCAAGTATTAGTGTGTGTGTTTTTTTTAATTATGTACGCCACCTTGGGTCCTTTTCTAGGAGAAAGGCGAAGTAAAAAATCTTTAAAGCAAACAAACAAACAAACTCGTGGCTAGAGTCAGAGGGGAATGGGGCTGCCCCCTTGTTCAATCCCTTCTTGATTAGAGCAAATGGCATTTTTCTGTCCCCGGTGTTTTCTCTTTTTTTCCCCATTGAAGATTTTAGAAAGAGATCATGAACAGAGATGACCAGGGACAAAACCACCCCTCTTTTTTTTTGCAGCAAAGTCTGGAGTGAAGAAGAAAATCATTACTTTTGGTGGGTGGTGGGTGGGTGGGATGGGGCTACTGCTCTCGAGATCTTCCTTGAAGGACCAACAGCAACTGCTGCCTTGGGTTCAGTGATTGGGGGGGGGGGTATTGATCTGGCCATCCCTGACATGGTGCCTTTTGCCCTTGCTTGGCTTGTGCACAAGGAAACGAAAATCACCCGTCTCTCTCAGAGAACCTGTTCCGATCTTTTGCCATCAATTCCACCTTGAAATGCAGCCTGCAAAGCAACGTTTCCTCCATGCAGTCCGTCCAACTGAGTGATTTCCATTAACCTGGGCATAAGCTGTGCCCTTGACAGGACGCCCCTTGTAACTTTCTTTGGTGATGTGTGTTCAGGGTGATCAGGGAGTGCCTGGTGTTCCAGGAGACGCTGGATTCCAAGGCGATAAGGTAACTCATTTTTTGCTGTTCCTTTCTGTGCTCCTAGAAACGTGAATGCATAGCTGCCACCTGGGGTTTTTCCCTCCTCTCCTTGAAGCACGATGCCTGCATTCTGAATCCCACTTTCTTCTCATTCCTTTCTACATATTATTTCTTTTATCATTGATGCAGCTGTAACTCAGGAATGAAAATAAGATTTTTATTTTTAACTAGAGGAGAGCTAGTCAACAATTGCTCCCCTTGTGCCTTAGGACCTTCCTCCTTTCTTTCTCTCTCTCTCTCTTTTTTTAATGCCCATCTCTCTGCCTTTTCCCTGACGTTGGTTTCTTTTTAACTGTGTTAATTTAAGAGCCAACAGAACTGGGGATCATTGAGTCCCACTCTCTCCCCAAACTAGTATGGCCCAGCTTCAGGTTTCTTGCCCTGTTGAGAAACAATGGTGCACACTCTGAAATTTCATTATGACCATCCTCATTATTATATCCCCGAGGAGACTGCAACAATGCAGGCAGATTCCTATCAAGGCACTCGTTCTGGAAGGTTTCAGCCGTATCGGGGAGCTGGTATTTTGTATAGCTTAGGGATCTGAATTACCTGTTAAATATTTTTAAAAAATCCTCTGAGAGTACTTTGCATTGCAACAGAGAGAGTTAACAATAATATACAGTATTATTGCTGAGGAAATAAATGCAAGGATCACAGTTAAAATCAGACTGAATGGGGGAGGGGGATGATGGTGGCCAACAACATCATGATGATCCCTATGTATCAGAAAGTCTGAGTGGTATTTCAGTTTCTGTCAATTTATATCCAACGTCTTTGCCCTATCAGTCCTGGCTCAACTTTTTCTGCAACTGCATCTCTCCTGTTTTTTGGTTTTTTTAAGGGTAGTCAAGGTTTACCGGGAATGCCAGGTGCCCGAGGGAAGCCAGGACCTCCTGTAAGTAAGAGCAGCACCTTCTCTCTCTCTCTCTCTCTTTGCCAGCCTGCAAAGGCATCTGTTGTGATATTCCACCATTGGGAATCAGAGTGATGTCATATTTGCTAAGCCGCATTTACTCCCACCTTTATTGATTCGGTTTTTTTATAATGTTTGTTTCTCTGTAGGGGAGTGTTGGTGACAAAGGATCCAGTGGCATTCCGGGATCGGAAGGCCCTGAGGTATGCTTTGATTTCAGTCCTGCTGCTTCCTTCAGAGACTTAAACTCGTTCTTTTCATTGCTTCGTTTTCATGTGCTCCTTCTGCAGCCCCTTTCTTCTCGCCTGTCAGAATAAACAGGAGGCATCTCCAAAGAGAGAAAGGGAGGCGATGAGTCCATCTGTCCTACACAGTTTCAGCAATCTGGCAACATTTTACTGTCCCGACTCCGTCCTAAGGATTCCTCATGATAAATAGTTCAGGGTGGCTTCAGGCTTCTCGGCTGTAGTTCAGAGGGAGTTGCAACTGAGACCCTTAGCAGAGATTGAATCCTGCAGGCCTGCCTTCATCACAGACCTCAGAAGTCCATAAGCGCTGGGCCTGTTGCCACCCATCCAACCTGGCTGATCACCCGTAGCCCACCCTTTCCTTTCCCTGGGCTTGCCTCAAGCCCAAATCGCAAGAGTCTTTAACCTGAAACATGAAATTTAAGTTATTTATTTAAAAAGCATAGCAGTTGCAAGGCACATTCTTAAGCTTGAAAGTTATTCTATGATACAGCTCCCTGGAAAAACCCAAACCCCTGTCCTTAGATCCAGTCTCTCTCAGTTTATGTCAGTGTAACGGATTTACATGTACATTTAAATTCCAATCCATTTAACAAGATCTTATTATTTATTCATGTTTAACTATATTACTTTTAATGGCACTCAAGGTAGAATCAAAGTGATGTATTTTGACAGTGCTCACTACACCCTACTGTGAAGAGACGGGGGGGGGAGTGTGAGCCTTTTTACGGCAGCGTGGTGGTACCTATATCACAAAGACCTCGCTCCTGTTCGGCAGACATACGTGAATTGCAGTTCTTCTCCCCTACCTCTTGTCCTGTTTCTTGGATACAAGATCTTTCACACCGTGCATAATTAACCTTAGTTAACTTAACTCCATAAGACATAGCGATGGCCAATGGCTGGTGAACCCCAATTTTGCAAGAACAGTGAACTCTGGGTTTGAGGCTGAACTTTATAGGAACTATATACTTGGTGCTGAACTCAAACCGCCCCCCCCCATAAGGATAGGATGCCCCCTTTAAATTTTAGACTAAAAACTGGAGATGGCTCCACTGAGATGGCTTTATAGCTGATGGCAGATCGGTCTATGGGTTAAGATGCTAAACTCCAAGGCTAAATCCTTCTCAAAACCGGCTGCTATGGTGGGAGCAAAGAGTCACAGGAGAAGAAAGGTGCTTATCTGTTTCTTGAAGGCATCTCTTTGGTTGCTAAATAGGGAAAGCAGTTTGGTGGACTATTCATGGTTCCCAGACTTTGGGTCCCCAGATGTTCTTGGACTGCCACTCCCAGAAATCCTGGCCAGCACCAGCTCACAGTGAAGGTTTCTGGGAGTTTTAGTCCAAGAACATCTGGGTTACCTAAGGTTTCCCAAACACTGATCTAGGTGTTTTCGACTTCAACTCCTAGAAGGCTCAGATGACACGCCTATGAATTCTGGGAGCGGAAGTCCAAAGTACTAAGGGGACTTAAGGCCAAGTAGCTACTGGGCTATTAGATGGAACTTTGATCTGGTTCAGTGTCTCTCTGTCTCTCTTTCTGTTCCTTTAAAAAAAGTGTGTATATTCTTTAAGAGTACTTTGCAAAATTGGCCAGTTAAGGTCTTTCCTGCTCTCATCAGTGTTTTGGTATTTTGCTGGGTCTGGAAGAAACTCTCCGTTGAATTCTATCATTTAGTAATCGTTCTTCTTTGTTAATATTGGATGGGACTGTGGCTTTCTTTGTTTCCTTAGCGGAATGGATGACGGGTGGAAAAAAAAAAGCTTGGCGTCAAACGTCAGGCAGGCCGCCTCTGGACTAACGAGCGTGTCGTCCCCTCTCTGTAATGCCAAGTCCGTTTCCCCTTTTGTCAGGCTCTCAACGACTTGGTTCATTTTCTGAAAGGGAAGAGGATTAGCCGCTGACTCGAAAATCAGAAGGATTTTGAACAGGGCTGTCTTTAGCTGCGTAGGGACAGGGAAATATTTGCTGACCTCAACACAACTTCAGCTGAGAGAAAGGGGAATGTTGCGGCGATGAGAAAGGGGAGCATCAGGGTACCCGCTCTCCGTTTGCCCTGTGCTCATCTAAACATCTTCAAAATCATTTCCCAGGAAGCCTGTCTATCCAGAACTGGGGTTGGAGGTGGGTGAGTGGGCTGCTTCCCCCCCATCCAGCCTGCAGACCTGGCCTTACTGTCACATTTGGTACTGAATTTCAGGGAGAGAAATCGGGGAACCTGATGAGATTGGCTGGGCACATGGCCGATGGAGCCGAGGGCACCACCTTTTTCCTTTCGGTGGGAATTCATGGCAGGAGGCATGAGACAAGATAAGAGTCTGGACAGAGGGGAGCCTCCCCATCTCATGGCTTACCGAGGTCTGATAGCATAATACCCAGTCAATCTAGGGGGTCTGGTTCCTTGGTTCACTCGTTCCCAATCTTGGGTCGCCCAGAGGTTCTTGGACTAAATCTCCCAGAAGCCTTCCCCATGAGCTGGGCTGGCTAGGATTTGTGGGAGTTGCAGTCCAAAAAACGTCTGGGTTTATCCAAACTACTGCTTTCGTTCAACATAACGGAGCGTGGAGTTGAGAGCTAAGGAGAAAGCAGCTTGTTATGATTGCACTGGCGATGGTTATCTCAGACCTTTCGAGACCCAAACTAGAAGTGCCGACAGCAGATTTGTGTCTTGGGATTTAGATCTGCCCCATTTGTGTCTAATGCCCGGAGTGGGACCCCTTGGGTCCATCGCTCTGCCATTCCTGTCTCTTAGAGCCAGCCTTCAGTACAAGCTGGAGCCACACAAGGAGACACACAGTCCTGAGAGAAAGAGTTGGGGACCCTTAACTTGCTTCTCTGTTGGAGACTTTCAATCAGACCCCCTAATTTAGAGAGAGCATAAGTGTCGCACGTTAGCATTACCTTGTAGACTGAACAATGGAGGCAACGTTTTGTTTATTTATTTTATTTATATGCTGCCTTTCCCCCCATGGAGGAGCCACGCTGGTTCACCACGTTTCCAGTCCTCCTACTTAAAAATAAAATAAAGATTGTGATACCGCAAAAGGTTGCTACTTTTTTGCCTAAGAAATAATGTCTTATTTGGGGAGGGGGCTGGCCCATGGTTATATTTCTCAGTGTATTTTAAGAGATAAGAATTAAAAGATAGATAAAAGTACAGTGTTTAATTTGTAATGACTAGCACGCGTTACTCATTGGGGTAAGAAGTAACAAGTAATAGCACCGTGTAACTTTCTAAACCGACCACCAAGTAAATTTTCAAATGTCACGTGCCAGAATTTTAAACTGAGATATGACTGAGGCAGGACTGGATTTTCTTCTGCAGTTTATGGGTTTTAAAAAATAGCTTAGGCTTAACTTAGGCCTAAGGTGGTATGGAAAGGGACGTGGTGGCTCTGCGGGTTAAACCGTAGAAGCCTCTGGGCTGCAAGGTCGGAAGACCAGCCATCGTAAGATCAAATCCACATGACGGAGTGAGCTCCTGTTGCTTGTCCCAGCTCCTGCCAACCAAGCTGTTCAAAAGCATGTAAAAATGTGAGTAGATAAATATGTACCACCTTGGTGGGAAGGTAAATGGCATTCCGTGTCTAGTCACGCTGGCCACGTGACCACGGAAACTGTCTATGGACAAAAGGCTGGCTCTACGGCTTGGAAATGGGGATGAGCACCGCCTCCTAGAGTTGGAGACGACTGGACTCAATGTGAAGGGGAACCTTTACCTTTAAAGTGGTATGCGCTTCATAGTGGAGCCTGTAATTCTCCATAATTGAAGATCTGGTGGTTTAAAAAAACAAGCCCTCCCCACCCACTGCCTTCAGATGCTTCCATGTCCCTGATCTCGAGCAGACACCCAGTGGCCTCTTTCTTTCTCCCAAGACTTGGAACATGAAATGTCTTGCCTTGAGGACTTTGCTCACGTAACCTCCTCTCCTTTGATGCTGTCTAGGGCTTTCCGGGAGACATCGGCCCACCAGGACAAAACGGCCCCGAAGGCATGAAGGTGTGTGTAGCTACAAAACCCTGTCACTTGGTTGTTGAGTTGACAAGAGCCAATGAAATAAAAGAGCCAAAGAAAAACTTGTTTGGGGGGGGGGAAGGGAGAGAGAGCGAGAGAGCGCGCACAATCTTGGAGATCTTCCTTGGTAATTCTGGCCAAAGTGCTGGCTTCTAGGATGTGTTGATCTTGGAGGCTTCCAGGAGCTGGCGTCGGCTTTCCTTTTCCTCTCCGCTGGTCCCCCTCGCCTGCTTCTGCAACTGAAATTGACATTGGACCTTGTCCCAGAGCAGCACGTGTTGGCAAGCGCCTCCCGCTCTGTGCATATCAATCGGCCCTCGGTCCTGGCGTGTCGCTCTTTGGTTCTCAGCCTTGAACCCTTTCTCGTCCATTGCAGGGAAAACCAGGGGCACGGGGTGTACCTGGCCCTCCAGGGCGACCTGGCCAAGAGGTAAGACACCAGCCATCTCCGGACCATTCCCTCCATCTTCCTCGTCACTTCGGGCAGGATCCGGCATCAGACTTTGGCTCGGGCATGCTGTGGAGCACCGCAGAAGCAAGAGGCTTGCCATCTCCTTTCTCCACTGGCTCTGCCATTGAGAGTCCCACTTTGGAGGGGCTGCAAAACCTTCTGGAGCAGGTTTTTAGGGTCCAGGAAGGGGGAAGAACCCAATGTCCCACATGTCCATGGGTGTCATATTGGATTTGGCCTGTGACTGTAGCAACCATAAGATGTGAGGCCTTTTATTCATCTGGGCCAGTGGTTCCCCTCCTTGGGTCACCCAAGTGTTCTTGGACTAGACTTCCCAGAAGCCTTCCCCACGAGCTGTGTTGGCCAGGATTTCTGGGAGTTGCAGTCCAGGAACCTCTGGGTCACCCAAGGTTGGGAACCATGGGCAAGCCTTTGGCCATTCCACTTGGGTTTGCCATTGGATTTTATTCACAGAGATTGTTTAGTGTTACATTGTGCCTGGATGTTTTTGATTGTTGTATATAAACAATACACATACTTCATTAGGCTGTATACTATCCAGGCTGGGGCTGTTCTTGGGGAGGAGGAGCAGCGGTCTAATTAAACAGGAATAATGTGATCTTTTCGATGGCTGCAGAACTTATAGCCAGTTTCTTCTTCGTGGCCTCTGCGAATGCACACAATTGGGTTGTTCTGCTCCTGCACAGGACGTCTCAGAAGTTTCTAGAGCTTAAAGACATGTGATTAGTAGGACGTTCCCCCATGGAGCACATGTTCCAAAGGTCCCCTCAGTTCCTTTTTGCTGCTGTTTTGGTTAGACCTGTTTCGAAACACTAGAGCGATTATTGAAATCTTTTACTGCCTATTTACTGATTCTTCCGATCATTTCTTTCATTTTTTTATTTTAATCATATCTTTGTTGGACGTTCCCCTGTAAGTTACCCCTTTTCAATTTACCTCAGTCCTTTTTCTCTTTACCCACGTTTTTTCTCTCCCTCTCCCCCAACCCCCAATACCACTCCGTTTTCCCCCAACCTTTTATGGCCCCCCCAGGGCCTTTCAAGTAGTGCGTGCTTTGCACAAATAAGACGCCGCTTACCGACAGTCACGACTGTTGCCTTTTTTGCTTAAAGAACAGCACAAAACGCACTCCTGCCCTGAGTGTAAAAAGCTTACAAGACCTGCTCTAAAACTATGCCTACAAAGACTTCGCTCTTACCTTTGGGAAAAGTATCTCAGTCCAGCCCCCCCATGGACCCACCAACATCTCCAGCTCCGCATCCAGAGCATCGAGAAACCACTCACCCGATATCGAGCCCAACAACTCCATCACCTCGTCAAAAGGACCTTTCGAAATCTGCTTCGAAATCAAGCTCGACGTCTACGTCAAAAGCTCCAATTCATCCTGATGCCTCATCTAGGAAAAAAAAAAAAAGGATAAGACCAAACCTAAGAAAACTAAGAAACCTACGAAATTGACTCAAATAGATCCACCTCAACTGGGGCCTCCATCACTGATCCTTGAGGAGTCATCTAGAGACACCCCTGGCTCAATTTTGGATAGAGACGGCCCAGCTTCCATCACCAGCCTTTCACTGAGCGCTGGCCTATCTCCGGCTGATGTTCATTCCAGCCTGGCCTCGGCCCATTCAAGCCTTAAATCATCAGTATGGGCAATACCTATTCAGGTATCTGGTTTGGAATAGTCTCCCCGCAAGCGCAGGGTGAAGAGACGACACCTTTCTCCAGTCCAATGTGCCCCTCCATGCAGGGAAATTAATTATTATCATCAACTGTCTCGATACCCAACTCGAGATGACTATGGGGATCAGTACCACCACTAAGACCCCTACTATCATGAAGACCAGAATCAGCATGTCTATTATGACAAACCAAGAAGGGTGAGATACGCCTCTTCACTCCGATACTCGCATCCCGTATCACCTTTACTGCCATGACACCAACATTGTTCATCCACGATGTATCCATTATCAACTCACCATACATCAATCCCTACGAAATCAGCTCTCAAACGCACTCTCCTGGTACCGGATTTTCTACTACAACCCAAATGAGCTAAGCACCCTTCCAGACACTCTCAACATCATACATCTCTCCAGGTCACCACCACCTACAAGGAACCCCCCCCCCCCGGCATTGACCAGCACCCGATACCAAGGTGCTCT